AAAATCAACGTTAACAAAATATCGTGCTTGCGATCTTTTTTCGAGAAATGTCAGTCAAGAACATTTTTTGGGGCCCAACGAACAAAAAAGTTGGATGTTTTGTATTCAGTTTCCAAATGTACTTTCCGCAAGAATTCACAGCATGCGCTTTAAAACCCATCAAGGCCCTAGGAGGCCCAAAGAGATATGGTATCATTAAGCAATCAGGCATTTGTGGTGTATGGTCAATATAGCATGGATGTGTGCTGTAATACAACATCACAGTGCTGGAATAAAGAACTTAGCGGTGGAAAATTGGCAATGTACTGGCAATACATCACCCATAGTAAATTAGCGCAATATCACACACACTCAAGATACCTTATAGCTATTTTGAACCAGTTACCAGTGCAGTTAGAACAGTGCAATGCAATCAGAAACATACATCATGGAATATCTCATGGTTTTCATTTAACCTTCAGGATTCAGGGTACATCAGCATTCAGGATTCTAGTCATCCGGCTTGTAATGTACAATTCAATAAAGTTTCGTTATACTTTACAGTTTCTACTGTATGATATTTGTACGGTATTGCATATTCAATATCTAGCACACTAGAAACACACACGCAGTGATAATTCTACATTCTGGAATGTGTTTGGTCAATAGACCAGTCCGCCGGGTTCTGTGTGGACGATCCAAGAAGATTGATGCCACACTGGGAGGTGCATGACAGTGTAATGGCTTGTAGCATGCTAGTTGGGGTTTATTAGCAGAAAGTTGTTATTTTTCCTCTGCTGAATGGGGACCTAAGTGCAGATAGGCAGTGATAAATGTAGTCTTACACAGGTGATCCAATTCATTTGTCAACCATGTGAAAAGGGTTAATCAGTGTTCTTCAGCCAGGTTACAGTGTTCCCTCTCTTTTCTCCACAGTAATTGTTCCCCCTCATCAACAGGGGCATCGCCGGCAAGGACAGCCGAGCAAGGGCTCAACGCGGACCGCCTACAATTAATTATCGAGGATCGCCCAGAGATTACATTTCTCTCTGAGCGCATAGAAAACTATAGAACCAGTATTACAAATAATGTCAGCTCCCCGTCAGAATTTATACGTAAAGGATAAGTGCATTTTTACACACGTAAAACACAATGTCCGCGAGAAAAAGAAAAAAAATCAATGTGAATTCATATATTATATGACCCTAATTGCTTTGGGAGGTGTACAGTGGTATTTTGTTAAAGCAAGGACTGGACTGCAGTTTCTGAAATCCACTGCCTTAAAATTGAGACGGAAAAACAAAGTCTTATTTCTTCTCTGCACCTCTTCCTGTCTACCCCCTGACTTAACGCCCTCCATTTTTTACAGCAATCGCTTCTGGAAAAGGGGTTTGTTGTCAAGACAATTGCTCGTTTTTTTCCCTCTCTCACTTGACAACGTTCTATCATCTGTGAAGTTATCGATTTACCAGTGTTTTAACCATCAAACCGGATCTATTTGAGTGACTCCGGTTTTTAAACAATTTCTTAGACAGGCGAGGCGTCACAGCAATTGGGTGCTTTTAAAGACAGTATTTCAATTCGTGGACATCGCCTCAAACGGTGCTTCCCCCCTTTGAAGGGGAATCAGCCTTGTTTAGACCTCATGGTGAACGGCGTTGTCATAGTGCGAGCGAGGGGGGGGGGTGCTGGTTGAGCCGGCTTGCTTTATAGATTGCTGTTAGGTCAACAAAACTTTGGCAGCATTGATTAACTTGACAGTGAATACACCAGTACATTTATCACTAATGGCTGTGCTGTAGAAAATCTAATAAGAGGCAAGCAATCCCCTGTGGAGCTGTAACAGGTTCAATGTGGCCAGCAGAGCGTGTGCTGGAAATATCTGTGTCTCCCTCGATGCTTGTGTTGTGGGTCAGAGAGGCAAGATCACAGCGATGATGCCCCCAAACACACGCATCATCTCGTCATGCCGCTCGCTCGCTCGCTCTCTCTCTCAACGGTGGAACCCCCCTCTCAACCCCCTCTCCCCCGTGACCCGGTAGGGATTCAAGTACAGCTCGTCTGACAGCAGAACGTCTGGTACCGCTGTCCCGCAAAACGGCAAAAAGCAAAGAAGAGATTGGGAAGTTCATTCCTACGTGGACCCCTTCAGCTTTTGCAAAGCTCCAGCGTCGACTTTAAAGCCCTTGGCCTCAAATGTATCCTAATGATATAAAATAGCCGACATCTTATTCAAGTTACTCTTGATTATTTGTATTGTTTTTTTTCATCCGGCTTAGGTCCTGTTAGAGACGGGGAAACATTTGGAGGACAGTTGAGGATCCTTTGCATCTCCAGCTATAAAACACCCTGACCATGTGTCAGAGTTTAGTGGTCGGGGAATTGATTTGCCGTCACCTGGGCGTCAGGTTCACTCTTAGGATTCAATTTTTTCCTTCTGTTTTGCATATCGTATTGATCGGGGCTCGGTAAACGAGCATCAAGCAACCGGCCAAAGGATGAATTGTTTACTCGCATAAAAATAACCTTTCAATAGGGGAAGATGCATGGACGTGGCCCTCTGGTGGCATTCTGCTGCCCCAAGCAGATGGCATTCAGCTGTTATTGATCTGGGGCCCGCTGGAGAGTGAGGGGCAGGCTGGGTCGGGACGACAAAAATACACGGTTCCTCCATAGCCACTCCATCTCCTGCCGGGGTTACATGCAGCTAAACATGGTGACGAAAACTATTTGTTCATTATTTTTCACTTAGTTTTTATTCAACTAAAAACACACACACACGGCCAGGAATAGATTGTCGTAAGAAAATATTAATTAGTCGTCTACTTTGGCTTGCCTCATTTGTTGACATCAGGGACCAGAGGGCCAACACACACAAGGTATGTGTTGAAGCCCTATCCACTGACCACTACATTAGGAAATGTGTCTGATGGCAGGTCAGTCCAACGGGAAACAGGGGAGTACCTGACTGCAGTTCCACAGATGCCCATAACTTACTCAAAGAAACTGAAGCAAAGATGTAAGTGCTTTTAAATCCCTTAAGGGTTCTTTGATTCTTTATTTTTGTCGTGTCCTCTAAGTGGCAGCTCAAATGTTCCAGCGGCCACTCCCGCTAGCTCTGAGATGTGACGTCCAACAACACAAACCTTCACATCCAATCACAAAGTAGAAAACCCCCACGTCCTCAACCCCCTGAGTGGCGTTTGACGTTGTCACACCTGAGTATGCCTGCAAGTGCCCGGACCAAAGCCGAGGGACATTTAGAGTGAGCTTACGTGCTAAACAGTTCGCTGCCTACACACAACACTATGAGTCTGACCAACGAGGTTGAGTCTGGCGCAAAAATATATAGGTGTATCGATTAGAACTGACACTCCTGAGCACAGTAAATTGTGTTAAGGTGTCTGGGCCAAGTGCGTATGAGCTGTCTAGTTTTTCAAATGGAGTTCAGCCATAGCGACCTGACACGGAGACACATACTGCAGACAGAGTAGTAGGTAAATAATGCTAGTTTTGAACGACACAAAAATGTTAAAATAGACACCACACTTTCATTTCTGATGTTGTCCTAATCCACGATTTGAATCAGAACCGGGGCTCCAATCCCAATGCGCCGATTAGTCTTTTTGGATGTTTCTCAGACATAATTGTTCTGGTAACTTCGTAGGGAACTCTCTTTGATCACGTTCATTGGAAGCACAGTTGGAAGGGACCGACAAGAGAGAGTGTTGGGAGAGATAAGAGGCAGAGCCAGTCGGTCAAACCCGGGCTTGAACCACCGTTGAGAGGTCACTTGTGTGGTCTTGTGTCGGGAGCTTTGACTGCTACACCAGACCTCGGCAACATGCATAACCAAAATTAACCATGACGCCCATACATTTCATCTAATTTGCATTTAATCCAGTTTAGGCATTAGGGTAATATTTAAGAGGCAGGCAATTCTTCAGAACAGTTTTCCGTGCAATGTTAGTTTCCATAAATAGCTTAATAGTCACTTCAGGTTAAGTTTTGTTCTGTTTTAACACTAAGATTTAACCCTAACCTAATTTAAACTTAAACCTGTGGACTTTGTAATCCATTTTTTACATAGTCGTGTAGTATTTACATCCAGTCCTATAAATATGGACTGGTTCAATTTAAAACATAGGAAAAGCCCTATCCTACCCTTCAATCGTAGAGATACACACTGTTCAGCATTTTTATTAATAAAATCCTAATATTGACCAGCGTCCGTTGTCAATCGGGGGCCAAAGGTAGTAAGTGAATGGAAAGTTGTCCTCTAATGATGTGGCGGTAATGAGGCCTTGATGCTCAGATAAGTTGGCCGCATTAGAGGATCCTTTGTCTTTCGGCTGGCTGGGCTTCCCAGAGCTGAGAGAGAGAGCTCACCCGCAGCCCTCCGCGTCTCACTGTCAACTCCTCTCTCTCTCGGCCCTGTTCATCTCCCTTTCTCCCCCCTCCCTGCCTTCCCACTTAATTAGTTTCAGAGGGAGCGGAGGCTCCGAGCTCGGGCCACACAGCGTACGGCTGCAGAGCAGAAACATTAGTCAGACGAATACGGTGGGAAAACCGCAGCACCAAACCGGTGAGGTTTAGGAGGACACAGAAGGACCTTATTGCATCCGTTAAATTAATAATGTTGTAGGGCCTAGTTAACCTTTTTAGGACATTACGTGTGTATTTAGGACAAATACATGATGTGTTTGATGAAAAACATCCCTATGATGTCAACTCCAAGTAAGATAATGCAGTATCTGTTCATGATGATTACTAGGTGTGTCCTTTTGAATAAATCTGTATTATCATATAAATCCATGTCATTACCAACACCATTTAATCCATTTACTGGAGTGTAATTGGCTGATACTCAGACCAGTTGTGAAAGCATTGCAACATTTTATTTGTGCCATGTTATCAGAGATATGTACATTCACTGATCTAGTTTGGACTACAGGTTAACAGTGAAGATGCATAAAGACCCCTCCTCAGCTCACTATTTTTCTTTAATTTAACATTTATATACCATTTGCAACGGATTTGATTCCAGGACGTCGTACACACAAAGCATGCACCCTACCAACTGAGCTACCAACGGGTCCTGATTTATTAAGCATCTTTTCTTTTCTGCATTGTGAGTCCTGTATACAGGCGATGATTAATGTGGCACGGTGCATACATTTAACACAATGGTTTCCGCGCTCCCGTCTTAATGATTAAACATTGCCCTGATCGTCCGCCTAACTTTTTTCATCCTTCCTCCTCAGACACACCATTTCTCCCGCCGACTACACATTTTCACTTTTCCACTTAACAGGAAGAATTTTTCAAATACATATTTTTGTTTGTTTATGTGTTCCCATCCATTTGAGAGCGAATAAAAAAAAATCTAGCTGGTATTTGTTCTGTCTGGCACCAAAAATAAACGCCCTATTAGATGGAGTTGTGATCCGGAACTGCTGTGAAGAATCCTCCGCTCATTTCTAAATAGCTCCTTTGGGCTCGGTGGCCCTGAAGTCTGTGCAGGGTGGCCCGGTTGGCAGTGGACACAGTCATAATCTCAGAAGGTTAGTGGCTCTCTCGTCGAGATGCGAGTGCGCTCCTCAGTTACCGTGGTAATTGGCTGATGAGGAAGCCCAAGTTGAAAAGGGAGTGTCAGTGTTCGATTTCCCCGGGATCCTAAGTGAGGATATGTCACCATTTACGCTGCTTTCCGTGACACTGCGCCTCGGCGGAAACTCAGGGGAAATCATTAGGCTGTTTATACCTCTCCCCTGTCGAAGACGCTTCCCTTTGATATTTTCACAATGTTTTCCACCGAGTGATGGCACTTCGCAGGGGTCAAAGGAGAACAAGTCCCCTTTGTAAATTTGTGACCATTTTTTTTTAACTGGAAAGAGAAAAATCTCGACAATTGGTGATGCATGCTGGTAGGTGCTAAGAGCCGGAGAGGACGATCAATGTCGTCCACCTGCTGTCCTCCTTCCAATTTAAAGAGATGGAAACGTAACGATTTTGTGTGTATGTTCGGACACATTCTCACTGTGAACTTAAAGCTAAGGGGGAGCCAGGCAAAAAAAGGGTTTTAATCACAAGAGCATATAGAAACAGTGTATAAAACACTATTTTTTCTGTCTGTTTAAGGAATGGTTCAAAAAGTACATGCATCATCACAAAACACATAGAATGCAGCTTGTATTCAGTGCGTGGAACATTGAAGGTGGTGCCCATTAACTTAAGTTTGAGTATTCTTTATTATCACCGAAGTGTTAAAAGATTGGGACAAGCAAGGTGTTAAAAAAACATGGAATTGGACAGTTACCTGACATTTTGCATAATTTATTGGCCAAGAAATACAATTGAGTGTACTGACTCTTATAACTCAGCCAAGTAATCCTTCATATCATCCGAAAGGGCTGTCCAGACGCTGTCAAAAGTGTCAATATGATATACGGAGCATAATTTTAGCCTGGTGCACAAGGAGCAGTTGGTGATAATTGTCAGTATAGAAGAGGGTGCGACACTGTCATTACTAAGAAGTCAATATGGCCGACACTGAGAGGAGATCTGCAAATGATTTCACTGTCAGAAATCTGTAGAGGGACATGAGAAGAGCATTTCAATAGCCCACTCTCAATGAGTTTATTCAATGCTTGACAATGCACTAAATAGCCCAGCCATAAGGGCTTTTCAACAGGAACTTTATATCACTGTTACTGGGGAACGGGTTTCTGTAATATGCGAAAAATTATTTGTAGCTTATAGCATGTGAGTCTACTTGAATATTGCAATTAAGTTTTTTTTTTAAATCCACAGATTAGAATAATAACCTAGCACTCCTGAATCGACTCCACTAGTTACGATTAGTTATCGCACACTTTACAAGCTGAATCAAATGAGCCCGGTTCAGAGCTACAACATGGTTATAAAAAGTCCGGAAGCTCTGAATGAGAGGTAAATGCTGCGCTTTTATCCAAAGCGCTTTACAGATCCTGCGTCACATTCACCCATTCGTTCACTGACGACCGCGTCTACCACGCAAGGCGACTGCAGGTTCGCCAGGAGCAGCTGGGGTTAGGTGTCTTGCTCATGGACACTTCGACAATTTCCCAGGAGGACCTGGGGATCGAACCACCAACCTTCCGACTGATAGACGCCCCAGTGTGAAGTGGATAAGGCCACCGAATCTGTTGTATTTAATTTGTATCATACATTGCAACTACAAAAAGGTATGTATTTAGGTCTAGCTTTATTTTTATCTTACATCGCAACACAAACATTTATTTATTTTAGGTCTAGCTTACAAACCCATATGTGGTTTTACATCTTCGCCGTGGAACATCCCCAGATAACGCGACGATAACGCGCACAAGTTTTCATGTGACCACCATTTCGTGCAGGTGAGAAACATTTTAATACAGTATTCCATTTCCTTCCTTTTTACATTCGTCAGGGATCATTCGACTGCAGACTGTGGGAAACCCAAAGGGAGACAGGAAAGTATGAAGGGACTACATGTGTCGAGATGGAACCTGGTCTCTGGCGGCCGGCTGCACAGGTGACTTATTCGGCGTTACCACTTTACCACATCTCTGCACCGGTACCAGATTACTGACCACATCTTCTTGATCAGAGGACACTGTAATCATTACAATATAATACATAGGCTCATTGTTTCCGACAAGGAGGTCGTACTGATTAGTATGGTCCTATGATTCCATCAGGCTTTCTTTCTATCGTGCTGATTGGTCTCCTCTTGACCTTTCCAGCCTACTGTCCCATCATGCCGCGCTGCAGTGGATCCTATGGGAGCTCAGCTTGCTGCCCAGTATTGTTGGTAATGAAGCCTGTCTTCCCCTCACAGTCTCTCCCGGACTCACAACGGGCAGAGAGACAACTTCCAGACCGTCTCCCATTGATCGTTTCATATATTCCCAAACGGCTCTGGGACGCTCCCGCCCGGTTACCTCGCCGGGCCTCTTCGCACTCTACCGGCTCTCGCGTGGACGGACTGCATGGTCAAAACCTCTCATTACACGCCCGACCACTGGTTCAAAGCCACTGTCCCACGTTACGAATGCGCTGTATTTACAAGATAAGCGGGAATGTACCACACGTAGAAAATACAACCAGTTGCAATGGCGCATTGTAGCGTGGGGGCCGATGTAAAACCGTAGAAGTAGACTGAGGAACAATATCATAATAAAACAGGTAGCGTTGGTGTTTCAAGCTAGATCCATCCACTTGACAGTTGTGGCATATCAAGAAGCATGTAGGATTTGTATTTTTATTCATCCTTATTATTCGAATTATCATTATTGTATTTGATGACAGGGGCTCGCTGTTTTTTCAGCTGGAGGGAAAAGATTGAGGGAAACGGGGATAAAGACACGGTGTGTGTGTGTGTGTATATGTATGTGTGGTTGTGTGTGTATTTGTATGTGTGGTTGTGTGTGTGTGTGTGTGTGTATGTATGTGTGTGTGTGTGTGTGTGTGTATATGTATGTGTGGTTGTGTGTGTGTGTGTGTTGTTTGTGTGTGTATATGTACGTGTGGTTGTGTGTGTGTGTGTGTGTATGTATGTGTGTGTGTGTGTGTGTGTATGTGTGGTTGTGTGTGTGTATGTATGTGTGTGTGTGTGTATGTGTGTGTGTGTGTGTGTGTGTATATATGTATGTGTGGTTGTGTGTGTGTGTGTATATGTAAGTGTGGTTGTGTGTGTGTGTGTGTATGTATGTGTGGTTGTGTGTGTGTGTATGTATGTGTGTGTGTGTGTATATATGTATGTGTGGTTGTGTGTGTGTGTGTATGTATGTGTGTGTGTGTGTGTGTGTGTGGTTGTGTGTGTGTGTGTATATATGTATGTGTGGTTGTGTGTGTGTATGTATGTGTGTGTGTGTGTGTATGTGTGGTTGTGTGTGTGTGTATATATGTATGTGTGGTTGTGTGTGTGTATGTGTGGTTGTGTGTGTATATTTATGTGTGTGTGTGTGTATATATGTATGTGTGGTTGTGTGTGTGTGTGTGTGGTTGTGTGTGTATATGTATGTGTGTGTGTGTGTGTGTATATATGTATGTGTGGTTGTGTGTGTGTGTTTGTGTGTGTATGTATGTGTGGTTGTGTGTGTGTATGTATGTGTGTGTGTGTGTATATATGTATGTGTGGTTGTGTGTGTGTGTATGTATGTGTGTATGTGTGTGTGTGTGTGTGTGTGTATGTATGTGTGGTTGTGTGTGTGTATGTATGTGTGTGTGTGTGTATATATGTATGTGTGGTTGTGTGTGTGTATGTATGTGTGTGTGTGTGTGTGTGTATGTGTGGTTGTGTGTGTGTGTATATATGTATGTGTGGTTGAGTGTGTGTATGTGTGGTTGTGTGTGTATATGTATGTGTGTGTGTGTGTATATATGTATGTGTGGTTGTGTGTGTGTATGTATGTGTGTGTGTGTGTGTGTGTGTATGCGTGGTTGTGTGTGTGTGTATATATGTATGTGTGGTTGTGTGTGTGTATGTGTGGTTGTGTGTGTGTATGTATGTGTGTGTGTGTATGTGTGGTTGTGTGTGTGGATGTGTGGTTGTGTGTGTATGTGTATATGTATGTGTGTGTGTGTATATATGTATGTGTGGTTGTGTGTGTATATGTATGTGTGTATATGTATGTGTGGTTGAGTGTGTGTATGTGTGGTTGTGTGTGTATATGTATGTGTGTGTGTGTGTATATGTATGTGTGGTTGTGTGTGTATGTGTATATGTATGTGTGTGTGTGTATATATGTATGTGTGGTTGTGTGTGTATATGTATGTGTGTGTGTGTATATGTATGTGTGGTTGAGTGTGTGTATGTGTGGTTGTGTGTGTATATGTATGTGTGTGTATATGTATGTGTGGTTGTGTGTGTATATGTATGTGTGTGTGTGTATATGTATGTGTGGTTGAGTGTGTGTATGTGTGGTTGTGTGTGTATATGTATGTGTGTGTGTGTGTATATGTATGTGTGGTTGTGTGTGTTTCACTGTACTCTCATGAGATCTCTCCTCTGGCTATGACCTTTGTATCCATAGTTGTTTTCTATCTCTAATCCCGACAGCGTAGAGACGT